ATAATATAGTATTATAAAATATGTAAGACAACAACCCAAAATATTTTATGGAAACAATTTACAAAAGTGTAGGTCACAAAACTGCTATTATGTTATGTTTGGTGGTTTGTGTAGCAAGCATATTGCTTTATTCTAAATGCCTTACACCCCCTTGCTCTTAGCTTGGTCCTGTACTCAGCCAAGAAAAGAAGGCCTGATCAGATTCTTAGTATTGCAATATTAATGATAAAGACCAGAAACATTTCTTTATTCACCGTAAATACATTAATAGGTAATCTCAGCATGTCAGCCAGAGTGTCATTTCTAAGAAGCTTATTTAATAGAAACTATCCCATGTGAAAGCAAAAGAGCTATTTGAAGTCTCCACAGCTATGCTAGGCCCAATAAAGAAATCAAAACTAACAGATTCACAATAAGTATTGACTGACATCTAAAAACTCCTGACAATAGTTAACAAAGAACAGGTAAAAAAAAAAAAAAAATACACTGTGAGAGCTAATGAAATGTATGATCAGGCCCAGCAAACAGGTATGTATGATCCGGGGTGTGAACTTGGCCACTCTACTCAACATGCAAATCTTGACAAATATACAGTACAATATAGAATTCTTACCTTTTTTTTTTTTAATGAATTCCAATGACTTGGTGAGTTACTGTCACTATCTGGCCATAAACTGTGTCCTTCAGCTTTGCAAGTACAGGCCCATGAAAAGACACTCTTCTTTATGCCTCGTACGAACCCTCAAACACCATGGTTTAAAGGAACCACTGCAATGGTGGATTCAATTCCCCTCAGCACTCTTATGCTTCACTTAACCACTAAGATAATTCAATAACTTGAACTTTGTGCTCTCTTTTCACAGACAAAACATTTTTCAAAAAATAGAATTCAAAAACAGGATTAAAAGAAAAAAAAAAAGCTGTATTTCAGTTTAACATTTAGAGTTATTTTCCCTAGGTTTAGTGGGACTTCTTTAGTTGATTCTTACCCTTTTATTATGGTGAACATTACTAGACTGTCATGAACACCATTTAAATTTGCCATTAAATGTTTAGTATTGTACTTTCCATACTGAATGTTGTGAACATGATAGCACATTACAGGTGAAATAGTTTTGGAAAGGAAAAAAAAAAATTATTATTTCTTCTGTTAGATGTCCATGAAATCTACCGGAGTTTGCAGTGGATCTGGCCCTGTATTTAATTGGACTGTCCCTTGCAGGTATCTTCCTGCTAGCCCACTGACGTTTTATGTTTTGATATACTACAGATCATTTTACTTCTCTGTCTTTAAAAACTTCTAACCTAATAAAGGAGGTGTGTCCTGGTTTTGGCTGGGATAGAGCTAATTTTCTTCCTAGTAGCTGGCATAGTGCTGTGTTTTGGATTTAGTATGAGAATAATGCTGATAACACACTGATGGTTTACCTGTTGCTAAGCAGTGCTGACACTGGTCCAGGACTTTTTCAGCTTCTTCCCACGCTCTGCCAGGTGCACAAGAAGCTGGGAGGGGGCACAGCCAGGCCAGCTGACCCAACCTGGCCAAAGGGCTATTCCATACCATACAACGTCACACTCCGTATAGAAACTGGGGGGAGTTGGACGGGGAGCAGCGATCGCTGCTCGGGGACCGGCTGGGCATTGGTCAGCAGGTGGTGAGCAATTGCATTGTGCATCACTTGCTTTGTGTATTTCTTTATCATTGTTGTTATTATTTCCTCTTCCTTTGTTGCCCTATTAAAGTGCCTTTATCTCAACCCACAGGTTTTACTTTTTTTTTTCCCCCCAATTCTCTCCCCGATCCCACTGGGGGCAGGGAGGGTGAGCGAGTGGCTGCATGGTGCTTAGCTGCTGACGGGTTGAAACACGACAGTCATTTTTGGCACCCAGTATGTGGCTCCAAAAAGGACTGTGGTGGTTTGACCCTGGCTGGATGCCAAGCACCCACCAAAGCCGCTCTATCACTCCCCTTCTCAACTGGACAGGGGAGAGAAAATGTAATGAAAAAACTCGTGGGTTCAGATAAGGACAGGAAGATCACTCAGCAATTACTGTCATGGGCAAAACAGACTCAACTTGGGGAAATTAGTTTCATTTATTACCAATCAAATCAGAGCAGGAGAGTGAGAAATAAAACAAAATTTTAAAACACCTTCCCCCCACCCCTCCCTTCTTCCCAGGCTCAACTTCACTCCTGATTTTCTCTACCTCCTCCCCTCCCAGCAGCACAGGGGGACAGGGAATGGGGGTTGCGGTCAGTTCATCACGTGTTGTCTCTGCCGCTCCTTCCTCCTCAGGGGAGGACTCCTCACACTCTGCCCCTGCTCCAGCGTGGGGTCCCTCCCACGGCAGACAGTCCTCCACGAACTTCTCCAGCGTGGGTCCTTCCCACGGGCTGCAGTTCTTCACGAACTGTGCTCCAGCG